GAGAAAAAGCATGGAGACAGGAAAAACCGATTATTCTGAGCACCAATACGTCTGTCAAATTGCTCACAAAGACTTCCCTGCTGGTCTAGTAGTTAACGATCCTCCTGGCAATGCAGGGGACACCATTTTGATCCCTGAATCCAGGAAGATTCCACATCCCATGAACAATTAAGTCCATGCATTACAACTACTGAAGCCGCAGCACTGCAGAGCTTGTTCTCCACAAGAGAAGCCACCGCAATGAGAAGCCCCTGCTCGCCACAACTAGAGAAAGCCTGCAGAAACAAAGACTCAGTGCAGCCAAATAAATAATACACAATTTAAAAAATATTTAAAACTGCTCATAAGCTTGCTCGTCTTTCTTTGAAGAACTGTTCAACTAGATTACAAGGTGAGAATTAAATTTTAAAAGACAGGTTGAGCTCTCAGTGTCAGATCTTTCATTTGGTGTGAGTAAATTAACTTTTACTTGGGCAAGTTAGACCCTTAAGAAAAGGAAAAGACAGAACAGTAACCAAAACATGTATATACTGCAGGCTATAGTCTGGACAAGGAGACAGGACTGAAGCTTCGAAGGTAAACCGACTGCGTGCTAAGCCGCTTTGGTTCTGTCCGACTCTTCGCGACTCTACAGACTGTAGCCCGCTATGCTCCTCGGTTCATGGGATTCTCCAGGCAAGAATCCGGAATGGGCTGCCATTTCTTCCTTCAAGGGAATCTTCCCAACCCAGGGATCGAACCTGCCTCTCTATGTTTCCTGCATTGGCAGGCGGGTTCTTTACCGTTAGCGCCACAAGGAGATAGAACTGAAGGAAGGTACACACCGGGTAGGATTCAACTGCAGTACAACAGAGAAATAACGAGAACCAGAACTAGGTTTAAGTGAGAACAGGAGGAGGGGTTGGTTCTGAGAGACACTTGGGAATAGGAATCTAAAAAGGCTTGAGACTGTGGAAGAGGTGAGGACCTAGAGGGAGCCTAGGAAAGAGTTGGAATAAGGAATGAATGTATTTTGTTTAAAAAAAAAAAAAAAACAGGACAAAGCAATGCGGTCTAGTTTACTAAGAATTTGACCCTTAATTTCACTTCACAGAAGGGGAAACTGAAACTTCAAAGAGTAAAGTGAGCCTGCGACAAAGGGATCTGAGCTACTTCCTAGGAACATAACCTGACGTTACAGGGACCACTCCAGCAGAGCCGGTTTCTGAGGTTGAATGCGGTGGCCTAACCACTCACCCGGCACTGCGGGTACCTGGCAGGGATCCAAAGCAGCTAGTCCTGGGACAGACCTGGAAGCCACGAAGTTTCCACCCTTGTCGCTTTTGCCCCCACTCACCAGCCCCGGGACGCCAGCACTTCTACTTCAGAGGCCGCGCCACTGTAATCACACACGCGGAGACTGGTACACCCGCAGCCTAACTCTGCTCTTCCGGAAGCGTGGGCGGGCTCAATGCCCTATTTCCGTTACTATACTGGATCCAGTTCAACAGGGAGGGGGAGGAGATTTAGAGACAGGAAACGGAAGGGCGGGGCTTATAAAGGTAACCAATCGACGCAGAGGGCCGAACACTTCAGGCCCGTTTAACGTGTGAGGGGGAGGTGGTGTCTTCCGGCGGGGTCGAGGGGCAGCAGCGTACGGTGAAGGACATCGGCCGTGGGGTTTGAACCCTTTGAAAGGTGAGTGTGGAGGGGAACATGGATTTAGACCGCGCGCCTCCGCTTTGTGGGGCCGGCCTGGAATCAGACTGTCTCCTGGTCCGGGCCCACCGCGAGGCCTTCGCTTTGGTGGGGGCTGGCGGAGGGTGGTGGTAAATAGAAAAGGAATTAGAGAAAATGAAGGCCGGGCGTGAGGGTTCGGACAATGATTGGGAAGCCTCGGCGCGAGGCTCCTAAAGGCCCTTAGAATGTATTTTCCAGTGGAGAAAAGGAGGCCCGCAGGGAAGGGAGGCCCCTCCAAGGTCACTGAGTGACGTATTATTGGATCAGAACGGACTTACGACCCCACCTCTCGTCTTAGTAACCTCTCTTCCACTGTATGCCCGAAGCAGTTTGTTTCCACCGAGCTATGCTTAGGAAGCTGTCCAGCCAGGTCTCCTTTAGCTGCGCTGCAGCCTTTGTCCGGCGAGAGTGAGTGTGGCCCGGCCCCGGGTAAGCGGGTTAGATATCTGTCTGTGTTCGGTCGGCGGGAAGCCCTTTCACTAATAGTAGCTAGAACAGAGAGCTATAAACTCCTTGTACCAGAGGCAGCTTCTGGTACCTGAGCGGCTGTCTCTTGTGTTTGCCTCTTTTCCCGCGAGATCTCACCATTTCGGGTAGGTGTCCGGTCAGACCAACCAGCAGTACCGAGAAACAGAAAGTAGCGAGGGTAGTGGGTCACTTTGGGCCTTTTCTGAAGTGCCCATTTTACAGGTAAAGAGAGGCATGTAAAGATTAATTATATTTAAAAGTAGTTCGCCGCGCAATTAGAAACAAACGAAGACCCCATGGCTTACTTAGACTTTGCCATAGGCTACAGTTTAACAATTAGTACGGTTCTGTTTAATTTTAGGTATTTTCATTCATGTCTTTCTAAACTGATGTATAACTCAAAAGGAAAGCAAGTTTCGGTTTAATTATTCCACAAAGTACACTTAACACAAGGATTCCTGACCTTTGTCCAAAAGTAACCTGAAGTTTGCTGAGGATACTAACCGAAGTGCTTACTGGCTTTGCTGCGGTTGTTCAGCGGCAGCATCTCACTTCCCCTTCCAGCTCAGTGTTTTTCGGATCTCGACTAAATTGCCGCTGGTAAACTGTGCCTTCCCTACAGTCAGAATTAGTCCTTTGTGGAATATTGCAGACATCAGCCTTCCTTCTGTATTGTATAGAGGGAGATTTAAGGCACCTTAAGATTGTTTCAGTTGGATACCACATTCTTCTGAAAATGTTTGTTAGACACAAGTTAGTGGGAATTAAGCCCTTGTTTTCTGTAGGATTTTTCCTAAAAATCTGCTTGATACTGTTAAGGATCCAAAAATCAGTCCTGAAGATAAATGGGAAAGCATGTCTTTAATAAGTTTACTAAAACCTTTAATATAAAAGCCATATCATAAAATTTTCTTTTAATGGAGATTTTCCTAGTTGGACTGGACTGGCCAAGGCCTCTAAGGTGACCCAAGGAAGTTTGGAATCCTCCATTGCTTCTTGAAACAGTGTTCACAATTAAGGTCATTTGTCAAGGTTTTCATTGCCAATTCAATGCTTGTGAATGCCCCTGAAGGCCTTTGAATGGCAAACTGTAGAGTGCCGGTTTCCATAGCAGCAACTTCCTCACAGGTTTCCCCTGAGTCTATCTCATCATCAAGAGTCGGCTGAGTCACTGCCACTGCCTACCAATCTCGACCGGACCTCGACCGGCTCGTCTATATTGCCAATCGACTCGGCGTGGCGTCGGTCGTGGTAGATAGGCGGTCATACAGACGAGTTTCGAGTGTTGCTCTGGTGACCTTTGATGTGCCTTTATAAAAGAAATACATGCCTTTGTGAAATACATAGGCTCTATAGATGTAATCCCCTTTTCAAGCCTGCTGTATATTCAAGGGTTTTTTCCCCCCTATATAATTACTAATAAGAGCTTGGTTTTCTGTTACTGCAGTGTTTTTCAAACTTTAACATACATTGGAATCACCTAGACTGCATATTAAAACAGATTGCTGGGCCCCAGAGTTTCTGATTCAAAAGGCCTAAGAATTTGCATTTCCAATAAGTTTCCATGGATGCTGACAGTGTAGGGACCAAACTTTGAGAACCTTCGATGTGCTCTATAATGCCCAGAAATAGGACCTTTTAATATTTAATATTGCAAGGGGACATCTTTTCATGTCTGAATTTAAAGATCTCCATGCATTGTTTCCTCCCATGGGAACATCATTTATCAGTTTCCTGTAAATGCACTTGTAGTTATTTCCATAAACTGTATTTCAGTTACCATCCTTGAACCATACTACATGTTTCCACTTTATAATGTTTCTCTATAAGGATAAATTCCTGGTGAACAAATTGAACCAACTAGATAAAAGAATAAACTATACCCTGTCATAATTCAGTAGATATTACAGAATTGCATTTTAGGAAGGTTGTACTCACTCCAGTTTACACTCCCTCCAGGCAGCAGAGAGACTGCTTATTTTCCCACATTCCCACTACTGCTGCTTATGATGATAAATTTATCTTTGCAGTCTGATGGTTAAATATTTGTCTCATTTCATATTTCCTTCACTGATAATGAGGTTGATTATCTGTGTTTCTTCAGCCACCTTTGTATTTTCCCTTCCCTAAGGTGATTAAAATGTTTGCCCATGTTTTCTTCAGATATTTTGGTTTCACTTTTTACATGTTTTCATCTGTTTTTGGTATAAGGAGTAAGGATTTCAGCTTCCACTCCACCACCAATAGTTAGTATGTATTAATTCCATTTGGTAATAAATAATCCTGTCTCCTCCTTCCCATGGAGGTCCTAAATTATTTATAGGAAAAACTGTAAAAAGTGGTGTTGCAAGGTGAGCTATTTAGTTAGTTGTTTTGGTTGTTAACCCTCTGAGAGACTTTGAAAAGTATCACAAGCTCCAACTTTCAACTAGACTTAAAACTGATGGAATTCCATGTACAGTGTGCTATGATATATAGATAGAGCCGGAAATGAAAACATCATCCTATTTTGGGTCAGAAGATGTTGGAGTTAGAGACTACTGTGTTCTGTGTGTTATTTGATGTACATTCTGGAATGTTAGGTGATAGCAACCAAGACAAAAGTCCTCCTTCCAAATTCTTAGCAATGTTTTTTCCACCATTTTGCTACTGATTTGTTGGGTGAGGCATACATAAAATTTACAATATTTATATGCAATATGTATATGCAATATACAATACTTACATGACTTTAATTTTAAAAAAATTTTTTTCTTTTAAATAGCATCCAAACCAATTTGTTGCCTTCTTTCTTTTTTTAAAAGATTGAAATCATGGCAGGTCCAGAAGCTGATGCCCAGTTCCATTTCACTGGTATCAAAAAATATTTCAACTCTTACACTCTCACAGGGAGGATGAATGTAAGTATTAATGATACCTTTAAGTAGTTATATTTTAGAATAATATAGATGTGACAACAACTCTTATTGCTTTTTCCTTTCTTTTTTAGTGTGTGCTGGCCACATACGGAAGTATTGCTTTGATAGTCTTATACTTCAAGTTAAGGTCTAAAAAAACCCCAGCTGTGAAAGCAACATAAACAGTAAGGAGATAACATTTAAAACTTTATGACTTTGCCATTTTGATGTTAGGGTTCCCCTCCCCCACACTATAAAAGTTATACTGTTGTCATTGTTCAAAATTTTATTACATTCAAAAAAAAGAAAAATATTGCCCATGTCTCCATCACCCTGACAATTTTTGTTAATATCTCAGTTTAGCTCTTTTTTATTGTTATTTGTTTGGTTTCCAATGGCTATGATCCATCTGTAATTTTGCTTTATAACATGTATGTTCTCTATAAATTTGACTGCATGGGTGCTCATGGATATATGATTTATTTTATACAGATCTGTTTCCTACTAAAATTTTTTAAAATATAAATAACATTACAGTGAGTGATTTTGAGCAACAAGTGTTTATACGTGATTGTTCTCTTAATTGCCTTCTGAAAGGGTTGTGGGACACCTAGCTTTCTCTCTCTCCCCACCCACCCCGTACAGTGTTAAATAATGTCAGTTTCTGATTTTTGTTAGTTTGATGAGTAAAAATTTTTTTTTGTTAAGTTGTGTATTTTTTCCATTTGATTATTACCATTTGTATTTTTAACATTCTCTGTGTTTTTTTTTTATTTGGGACTTTCTTTTTGTAAAGATCCTCTCTTTCTTGTATAAGCTCTTTTTGTAATTTTTTTTGGTAGTAATTATTAACCAGCCTTTTGAATCAGTTGCAAATGCATCTTGCTTTCAAATTTTTTTGCAATTCTGTCACCGAGACTTCATTTTCTTCTTAGTGCAACCCAACGCCCATTTGCCCTTGCTTGTATAAGTATTTTGTTGGCAGTAGACAATGTACAGAAAACCCAAAACCTAGATTTTATCTACTGTAGCTTTCCATGACAAAATTTTTTCCTCTGCTCTTAAGACCTTTTCCAGTCCCACAATTATTGACGGTAGTGGACTGACTGCATAGCCCAAAATGCAGTGGTCCATGGTTTTTTCCTGACAAACAGGTAGTTTTTTTGCCCAATTTTTCATACTGTGTGTGTGCTTAGTCACTCAGTTGTGTCCGACTCTTTGCGACCCCATAGACCGTAGCCCACCAGGCTCCTCTGTTCCTGGGATTCTCCAGGCAAGGATACTGGAGTGGATTCTTTCCATCTGAGCCACAAGGGAACCCCAGTTTTTCATATTAGGTACCTCCTTACTCTGTTTTTATAATGGGGATACTACCATCCTCCCTCCTTTCTACTATTTATTACTTTATTGGGGCCGGGGTGGAGCGGGTGCTACTGGGTTGGCAAAAAAGTCCATTCAGGTTTCCCCATAAGCCAGAAAACTCTGAACAAACTTTTTGGTCAATCCAGTATCTTATGTACTAGGCTTTTACAACAATGTATATTTTGGATCATACTGAATTATTGACAGCTCTTTTGTTAAAGGTGGGAGTTTTAGATTAAATTGTTGAAAGCTGAGAGACAGCTAAATTTGGGGGAGTTAATGACTCCTTTGAAAATCTAATGAATTCAATTTCTGGGAGGTTCGTGGATAGTCTTTTACTAATAATTACTGAGTCTTAAATGCAGAATTGAACACGTTTGTGTCTAAACTATTTTTGCTTTGTTTATAGGATTCTGAACTGTACATTATCTGTTAAGTTCCCATGCCTGAAGAAGCTAATGTCAACTCATCATGTGATACTCAATTTGTACAATAAATTATGAACCTGGAAAAGCTGGTTGTCTTTATTTACAAGATATCAAAAATATAAAAACTGTACAAAATGCAACAAAGGCAAAAAACTGGCAGTAACTTGGTCTAAATCTTTTAGTTTTCCAAAGCAAGGCTCAGTACTGGAGGTAAGCAACTGAAATGTCTGACTTCAAGTGTACTAGGTTGTATGTAGCCATTTTAGCTGAAGTAGAACATGGAAGTTAATTTCATCTGGTTTAAAGAGTGTTTGGGGGCACTCAATCCAACAGGTATAGATTCAGATGTCAGTGGATGGTTGTACTTCATCTATTTCTCCGAAAGGAATTGTAGTTCATCTTAGCCAGTTAACATACATTCCACTAATCATGAGCCAAGCAAAAATGTTAGTGGATCGTATAACATAGTACTTGAGTGCCATACAGTAACTACATTTTTACAGCAGAAACATACATGCTCATGGAATTCTTCAGCTAAAATTCAATATGGTATTATATTACTCAATTTGAATCTTGAAGCAGGATGAATTATTGAAATCGATTTTTTTAAACATAATAAATTAAAATAGCATTTGAACAGAAAATGCATAGTTTCCACACAATCCAAAGCACCATGAATGTCCCCTCCACAAACATAATACCTCTTATTCAACTAACGGAAATTAGTTAAATGTGGTTGCTATAGAAACGTGGAACTGTCCTGTACAGATTTTCTAAGCAGCATACTTCCAGATCCATATAGACAAAACATTCTTTGTAGCTTAAATATTAATCACTGAGGTATTTGCTTTTAGTCTCCCTTTTTCAAACAGTAGTTTCCAAAGGTCTTTTAATACCGATGGTTTATTGAGGACTGTAAGCTCCTGCAGCTAGAACCAAGTTTCTTCGAGTAAAATGGAGGTGTACAACTGGTGTTGATTTGGTCATATATGTTCCCAACAATAACTCCTGTGAATTCTCGGGTAAATTTATATGCCCCGTGGCTGTAGTAAAGTCATCAGTCTCTACATCTTCAAATGCTTTGACAGCATCCCATAACCGTACTGTATTATCCATTGAACCTAAGAGGAAATCAAAAGGAAACCATTTAATAGAATCTGCCATATTTAAATGTCTGACATGTCAAGTATGCTTTATGCATTTACGTTTCTGGTAAAAGAAATCTGAACTTAACAACTGTTCCCTCTAAAGAATTTCAAGCAGTAGCTTAACCTGAGAAGTCAATATACATGTAGGTAGCAGCCCTAAATCATGCTAAGAAGCAAAATCCAAAATAGGACTTAATTTTGCAATTGTCAACATTCAGTGCTTCCTTTAAATATACAATTGACCCTTAACCACAAAGCCAGTTATAGTCATTTACCTGATGCCAAAATTTCACCATCTCTACTAAATCTAAGGGAACAAACTGTATCAGTGTGTCCTTTTAATTCTCCAACCATCAAGCCATGTCCAATATCCCAAAGGAGTACTCTGCCATCTGTTGCTCCTGTAGCCAGGAATCTCCCATTGGGAGAAAATGTCAAGGAATGAATTGGTCCCTAAAAAAAAGTACATGGCAAGAATCAAAAGTAACGTTAAAAATACCCAAGAAAATGAGACAAAAGAACTATAACAGAGTGGAGTGGTGTGGACAGTATCTTTAAAATGTATGTCACTAGTTAATTTAACTTTTTAATCTCAAAAGACCCTTGTGTGCTGGAATAATGAAAGTTAAAATACCTTGTGTCCAGTGAAGATCCTTACACAGTTCCCATTCAGGACATCCCAGAGCCGCACAGTTCTGTCTGCAGAGCCCGTGGCAACATAATTAGAATTTGGATGGAATCTGGTACAATTCACATCAGCAAGATGGCCAGCAAATATCCGTAAAGGCTGATAGTGATCTGTAGCCCAGAGCCTTTTAAAAAAATTATTGAAAACACAAGGTAATTAGTAGTTATCTCTAAATGCCAAGTTCTATCCAAAATACAGAAACAACCATGTGAAATATTAGCTGTAAGTGGGTCCCCCTCACTAGTTTACCTGAGGGAAAGAATGGAATGACTTAGAGACTAAGCTTTTTTTTTTTTTTTTTAAAGCTATGCCATGCAGCTTGTGGGATCTTAGTTCCCCAACCAGGGATATAACTGGTGCCCTCAGCAGTGAAAGCACCAAGTCCTAACCACTGGACGACCAGGAATTCCCTAAACATTCTTTTTTTTTTTTCCCATTAAAAAAATTTTGAGGTATGGTTGCTTTACAATGGTGTGTTATTTTCTTACTTTACAATATTGTAGTGGTTTTTGCCATACATTGACATGAATCAGCCATGGATTTACATGTGTTCCCCATCCTGAAACCCTCCCACCTCCCTCCCCATCCCATCCCTCTGGGTCATCCCAGTGCACCAGCCCTGAGCACTTGTCTCATGCATCCAACCTGGACTGGTGATCTGTTTCACACTTGATAATATACATGTTTCAATGCTATTCTCTCAGATCATCCCACCCTTGCCTTCTCCCATAGAGTCCAAAAGTCTGTTCTATACATCTGTGTCTCTCTTTCTGTCTTGCATATAGGGTTATCATTACCATCTTTCTAAATTCCATATATATGCGTTAGTATACTGTATTGGTGTTTATCTTTCTGGCTTCACTCTGTATAATGGGCTCCAGTTTCATCCATCTCATTAGAACTGAAAAATATGGAACACTTCACTAATTTGCGTGTCATCCTTGGCACAGGGGCCTTGCTAACCTCTGTATCATTCCAATTTTAGTATATGTGCTGCTGAAGCAAGCACCCTGAACATTCTTAAAACTAACATGGTCCAAAATTTTTTTAATTCTGTAATCCTTTAGTTCTCTGTATGTACACTCTCTAATCCAACTCCTAGTCTAACTCAAAGTATTTTTCCCTAGTTTTGGCTACCATGTGATGGTTTACTCACTAAGCTGTGTCCGACTCTTTGCAGCCCCATAGACTGGAGCCACCAGGCTATTCTGTGTGGGATTTCCCAAGCAAAAATACTGGAGTGGGTTGCCACTTCCTTCTCCAAGGGATCTTCCCAACCCAGTGATCAAACCCGGGTCTCTGGCATTGCAGGCAGATTCTTTACTGATTGAGCCACCAGGGAAGCCCCTAGTCGGGGGGCTACCACAAATAATTTCAAGCCCAAGATACCTCATCCTGAACTTTTAAAGATATGACAGGGAAATAAAAGGGCTCAAAGTGGCTGCAAAAGACAAGGTTTAGCATCCACTTGGGGAAGGGGAAGGCATGGACTCTTGGTGTAGATATGATTGCAGACACAGAAATATTTCTGTCCCAAATTAGTTTTCAGATTACCTACAAATGCTGACATTCTCAAAAAGCTGATAATAACAGAAGTGAAAATAAAGTTTGGCTGGAGTTTGTAATTCCCAACAAGAAACCATTCTGTTCGGTCCTAAGACATAATGTTCTTACCGAGCTACTCTGTCATGGCCCCCTGATACAAAATAATATCCATATGGAGAAAACTGTGTGTCCCACACTGGATAGTTGTGTCCTTTATATCCCACCAAGCAAGTAAATGTTTGAAGACTCCACAATCTAACAGTTCCATCCTCTGAAGAGGAAAGCAGGTAGTTCCTGAGAAAACAGAAGGTAATATATTTGATTCATAGAATAACTTAGGTACCTGTCCAGTGTCTCGGCACATTTGTATATGTTAAATATAGGTAACTGACTACATCATCTCAGTTTTAATTTATGCTGAAATTCACGGTGAATAATAAGAATTGAAAGTACTGTTAGCCATGACACTACATCTACTGAACACCTACTGAATAAGCTTAGGTTTTTTTTTTAAAACAGTATCTATTACGAAAATCACAGTTCTTTGGAAAGCAAAAAACAAAAAAAAAAACAAGAGGTAATGACAAAAACTATCATTAAATAAGGTCACCTGAAAAAGGCTTCTAAGAAATATGTCACTTAAAATCAGTAATTTTTTACTTTAAAATGGAGTTGCTATTTTCACATCCTATACAAAGCTGGGTAAAAAGCTTTCAAAAGTAAACTACTCAGAAAGTACTATGGTTTTCAGTGAAATGAGAAGTTTCCCTCAAGTATAAATGTACCATCTGACTAAACCCTATAAAAAACAAAAATCTTCATCTCAAAGTTTCATAAGGATGAAAATCTTTATGAAAGATTTTGGACTGAAAGCAGTAAGATATAGATGGTATTACAAAAAACAAAAAAATACCCTCCCCACATTGCTATAGAATGTTAAGAGATCATGAAAAATAGACAAACATTTTTGTGGGTTTCCAATTCCCTTATCAGTATTAGTCCTTTTGATTATACAAAGATAAATCTTCAGTTGATAGGTAACATGCCTTTAATATCAGGCATCTGTTGTGAATTTGGAGATGACAGAAGACAGCAGTAGCCACCAAACATATAGCAGGAACCCAAAGAAGCAATTCAACCCCTACTGGAATTACACAAAACTAAAGCTAGTTTTTATAACCAGCAAACCCTGAAGCTATGCATCCTGATTTTGTAAATTTAGCTACTATACACCAGTACCCCAAGATGAATTAGCAGAGGGCAAGATTCTAAAAGATAATGAATGACAGGCAACCATGGGATTTTTCTAAAAGTATTTTCCCCAACATTTGCATAATGTTTCTAGTTGTTAACTTTCACATAACATATATATTTCATATAATTTTCATTTAATCTCAATGTTATACAGCAGTATTTAATTCTTATAGTTTGTCTTTTACCTATCTGGACTGAAGCTGGCTCCATACACGGGACCACTGTGACCATACAAGATCTTCAACTCACTTGCTGTTTTCTCATCCATGATTCTTTCTAAGACATCATCAGATTCTTTATCTATGAGGCTAAGATCTAAAATGATCCAGAAATATTACTTTTTAAAAATATATTCATTAAAACAATTTAAGGCAATTATTTCATATATCAGAGTTTAGGAGAAGAACTAACATTTGAACTGTTCCTCCTACTTATCAACCACTATGCTAATGCCTCTAAATTAGGTGCTATCATTTCAGTGTATAAGAGAAGAAAGTGAGGTTCAGAACAGTTAATAACATACCAAAGTGTACACAGCTACTTAGTCTTGGAACTAGGGCTGAAACTCAATTTATCCACTATATCACAATGTTTCACAAAATAAAACTACAGAAATATTAAATTATTGAGAATGTGTTGTCTTGTTTAAACAAAACAACTAGCAAGAAACTTTAAAATGTAACCCTGATCTTAATTCATTTTAGCCATTTTTATGGCTAAAACAGAAAAGTACTCTCCCAGTATTTGAAGACTTTTTTTTTTTTTTAATTTACAAACAATCATAAAATGTTAGATTTTTAACTTCAGGGAGTTTTCTAGCCTAATGCCCTCATTCTACAGATGAGAAAACTGAGGACCAGTCTAGCACCCCAGTCTCCTGATTGCCACTCCAATACACTTTTCACTGTTGGGAATGTTGTTAACAATTTGACTTAAAGTAAAATCAAGTGAAGTTCTGCTAAGATCACAATGTCCTGGTATATTCCATAGAATAAAGATTGGTGTAAACTAATGAGTTTGTATCCTGACAGGTCATCTCAGTTACCTGCGGCTTGTTTGACACTACGAAGCTTTTTGGGTGTCACAGACCACACTCTGACAGTTGAATCTGCAAAACCTCCAGCAATCAAACTAGAATCATCAGTGACATCCACTGCAGTGAGGCCCTGCCAGTTAAAAAATACATACTAAACAATACTGTTTTAGGGGAAAAAAAATTATAATCACATCTGAGAGAACACATAATGACAGGTATTTTTCTTCACATAAGAGATTTCATTCTCTTTTGAAATTCACTGTTCAAATACACTTATATTGAGAACATGTCATAATTTACTTTTTGCCCTCCAAATCTGGAATGCATATACAAATCAAGTGGTTTTTTTTTTAGTTTTATTTTTTAATTGGAGGAAAATTACAATGTTGTGTTGGTTTCTGCCTTACAATGCAAATCAGCCATAATTATAGTACAAAGTATATCTAATTATTTTTGTAATTTACTAAATATATCCTCAGCAGTCTATTATAAAAAGTCTTTAAGGATATAAAGAATTCTTAATAAAAAAATTTAAGTAAGTACTTAAGTTCAAGAGAGATGAACCACATAGCTTCCTCCTTTTTCAAAGGTTAGCAGAATTCTGATCAGTGAAACAAAGGACACATACAAACAAGATTCTGGTACCAACAAGTTGCTGAAGGTCTTTTAAACATTGTCTTCTATCTATTCTGATCAATGTCCAATTCTCCTTTTCTAACTGCTATCTTTAAACCATATTTATATCAAGAGTTTAAATAAGAAAACTCCATTTTAGTTAAGACATCTAAGCTACTTTTAACGGTTAATCACCATTTTCCATGACTCCCAATTTTCTCCCAGAAACTACCCAATTATTTTACCAACCTGGTAAGCGTTGAGGAATGTATAGAAACAAATCGAAGGTAAACAATCTGGCCCCAGGCGTACTCGTTTTGTGGTTTCTTTCATATTCATTATCTTATCCAATTTATCTGAATCTTTCAACTCAGGAAGAGGGATTCTGTGAAAGAAAAACAAACTGGAAATTACTCTGAATATTAAAAAACTGGAACCATCTATAACATCGTCTTACACTTCCACATGTGTTCCTGAGGTTTCTTCCCTCACCTGTTTTGAGGTGGAGCATTGGGATCTTGTTTTTTACTTTTGGATCCAATACTATCTTTTTTAGGCTTCTTTTTTTTAGGTTTTCCTTCTTCATTTTCTCCTTCTTCATCCTCATCATCCAAAGGCACCTCAATTTCTGGCTCTTTTAATAAGCCAAAAAATACCTACAAGTCAAGAGAGTCAATTTTTTTAAATTACTTTTTTGTTTATTGATACATCTTTTTAATATCTTGATAGGAATTACAATTATAATACGGTCATTTATATCCTGAAACCGATTCTGTACTTATCTACCCAACAGCCAGTCTCTCCTTCTTCCTTACTGACAGAACCCTGATTTTGTTGGAGCAGCAGTATGCTCAGTTAAAATCATTTCTGTTCCCAGGCTCCCTTGCAGCTGAGAATGGCCATATCGTATCATTCTTGCCAATAGATGTATACACAAACATACTGGGTGGTGTTTTAGAAATACTGTTTTCGTCATAAGAAGGGAGATTCAGCAGGTATATCCTCCCCCTTCTGCCTTCCTGGAATACAGCTGCAAAGTTGGAGCTGCTATAGCCACCTGTGAACACAATGAAGAAAGCCACATTCTGAAGGTGGCATAGCAGAAAGTAAAAGGAGCCAGGGTCCTTGATGGCATTGTGGAGTTCTCACACCAGCCTAGGAGGGCCTTCCTCTTTAATTCATTTTATGTGAGGAAAAAAAAACCTTACGTGTTTCAGTCAGTATAATCAGGGTTCTGTTAAATGCAACCATTCTCAAATCCTCACTAATATATACATCATCCTTAGAACATGAAACGTAGTATACAGTGTAAAATTATCCCCAAACTAGCTGTAAGAAAAACGTGTAAATTATGTAGATGGAAATGCAACAAGTTTTCATAATCTGCATTACGTAGTTCTTATTCCCGTACCTTTGACTTGTTTGCCTCTCGTTTAGCCTCTCCTGCCAAACTTCCCACCATCGCATCTATCTGTTGCTTACTACGCGGCATCCCATCAAAGATGTCAATGTAGAGGTGCTCCTGAACTATGTTCCATATCTGATTGTTCTGTTTCTCCTGAAGATGCCTCTTCAAGAGTTGGTACGAGTCTCGGGAAATACGCAGAACAAATTTACTTGTTCGAAAATCCAACATGGTCTCATTCCCTTTCATGTGTTCCTTTTTGGTAAGACTAGATAATACTCGTAGGTCATCCTGGTAATAACATTCCTGATCTCCATGGAACCTGTTTCAGTGATTTTAAAAAGGCATTTTTCAATGTAATCATTAAGGGCTCTGCCTCTCCCCCACATATCTATAAACACCCCAGAGTACTTTCACCGTTTACTTTGAATAATCCTGGACTAAGTTGTAGAATCAGAAGTAACACAATTCAAAATGATTACAATTCAGCTCTGAATGCATCCTAAAAACGAGCAAGTTAATTCTCTAGTGAAATGCATCATAAACATTTTAAGGGAATTTGAAATAAACACCATAGATGAATGAAAGATAGGATATCCACCACTGGTGGACAGTCACATTTGAATGCCACCATTGGCAGAGATTTGAAAATGTTAGAATCTTATGTTCTCTCGAAACCCACTTTTTAAAACTTTTTATTATGGGAAATTTCAAACACATACTAAAGTAGACACTAATATAATAAACTCAACATACCTATCACTCAGCCTCTCAGCAATAATCAATGCATGACATTCTCACAAAACTCATCATTTTTAGTGATTTCTTATATTCTTAACATTAGATATAAATATTAAACATTAGTACTTTAATAACATGACTAAAGAACAAGAATATGTTGATATCAAAGAGTGAGCACTCCCATTTACTCACCATTACCAAGGCAATTATATAAAGCTTTCAGCTTTGGTGCCAACTGCTAAATTTAAATGTACTTTTGTTTCTACAAATTTTAATTATTCTAATAATATAAAATGTAAAAATCATATAGTAACATTCACAAAGAGCAGCAAACAATGCAAAAACATTTAGAAAACAAATGATTAAAGATATTAGGACTTTAGCTCTGACACATAGCCAATAGATTCCTAATCTGTTACCTGTGTCAGCCTAGCATGACTCATCAAGATATGAATTACGAGTTTCTAAGATGTGAACAAAACTAGAAATCTCAGCCCCTTAATTTTTGTGTTAGTTTCTGCCGATAACCTCATCTGAGCATGGGGTGCTGGCAAGGGCTGCGACTGTTCATGACAAGGACACACGGAGTCAGTCCCTATGATATCCCAGCTCCCTAGGTGAGGAGACGGCTACACTGGAAGAGGAAGAGGATTTCTGAGGACAGTTCACGCACGACTGCCAAGCCGCTTCAGTCATGCCCAACTCTCTGCAACACTATGAACTGCCACCCGCCAGGCTCCTCTGTTCACGGGATTCTCCAGGCAAGAATACCAGAGTGGGCTGCCATGCCCGCCTCTAGGGTATCTTTCCTACCCAGGGGTCCAACCAGCATCTCCTATCTCCTGCACTGGCAAGATGGGTTCTTTACCACTAGCACCACCTGGGAAGCCCTTCTGATGACAGTACTCTAAGAAAAATTACCTTAGAGATTCTGTCACCATCAGCCTTAATATTTTCTTTCAGAAACACGGAGCTACACAACGTCATGTGACAGCCTGGATGGGAGGGGAGTTTGGATACATGTATACATATGACTGAATCCCTTCACTGTTCACCTGAAACTATCACAACATTGTTTGCTAATTGACTATACCCCAATACAAAATAAAAAATTAAAAAAAAAACAAAACACTGAGCTATCAAACATTTGCTTTCTATACCTTCTATTAGGCATTGTAGAATAATGAATGAACATAATGCACAGAAGCCAGGAGTCCTGGGTTCTATTATTCCTCTATTACCACTACCTGTGTTACCTGACAAGTCCTAGCTTCTGGGGCTACTGCTTGAAATAAAGAGCTCTCATTCAAACTGTTGAGCACACCTCCATCTTAAACACTCCTTTTTTCTGGCTTCCATAACTCAGCACTCTCCTGGTTTTCTTTCTGCTTCTCTGGCCTCTCCTTTCATCTCTCTTCCACATGGTAGTCTCTTCTACTCTTTTTATTAATCTTCTCCTCCAAATGTTGGGAGTTCCCTGAGGTGCAGGTCTAGCCCTCCTGTTGACTTATTTCTATTTCATTTCATTTCTATTTCAATCAATCTTGGATTCTGTGGTGGCACAGACAGTAAAGAATCTGCAATGTGGGAAACCCAGGTTCGATCCCTGGGTCAGAAAGATCCCCTGGAAAAGGAAATGGCAACCCACTCCAGTATTCTTGCCTGGGAAATCCCATAGACAGAGGAGTCTGGCAGGCTACAGTCCCTGGGGTTGCAAAGAGTCGGACATGACTGAGCAACTAACACTTTCAAACAATCTTATCCCTATCCACCAATATTGCACATGACTCCAATTTATGGCTCTAGCCCCTACCTCTCCTCTAAGCCCAGAGACTTATATATCCTCCATCTATCAACCTGACATCTCTTAAATGAGTCAAAGGCATAAACAAATCTGAACTCAAGATTATTCCACAACCTGACAAACCCTGCCCTCTTCCAGGGTTTTCTGTCTAAGTGAAGAGCGTCCCTATCCAGCTAAGGGAGCCAGATACCCAGGGATTATCAATGACACTTTTATCTCCCTTACACCTGTATCTAATCCTTCACCAAATGCTTCACAAATATGTCTACTGCCCTTCACCAACACTATCACACACAGTCCAGTGTTTCTCAACATGGGTGCTACTAGTATTTGGGGCAGAACAATTCTTTGCTAACTGTGACTACCTGTACATATTGGAACTTTTGGTATCCCTAAGACACCTGATCCTCCAGTCAAGTCGATACAACAACCAAAAAAATACCTCCAGTTTCAAATAGCAAGGAAGGAGGAATAATATTACCCTCAGTTGAGAACCACGACAATAACTTCCAAAATGATCGCTCTATAATCATTCATCCCCCCAATCACCTGTCCTCCCCCCGCATAAAGGTCCTTTCAAAATGTAAAATCTAATAAAGTATGGTCCTTCAACAACTTCTGTAGCAAAAATGTCTGTCCCCAGAAATTCATTTTTTTTCTTTCTTCCTCTGCAATAAAACACTGGAATACCAGCAGAGCACACAGACATCTAGGTAAAGACCATATTTCCTACCTCCCTTGGCCAAGACTAATGACATAAAAGAGGGAGAAATACATATAACTTCCAGGAGGGATGTGTGCCCTCCCTGCCGACTCTAACACTGATATGATTTCTTAGAGCTGGAGAGTCACCTTGCACCACAGGTGGAAACTGCATGACAAGGATGTCAGTGCTACATGATCAAGAAATAATCAAGGACTCCATACCAGTCCTACAGTGCCTTTCATGAGAGAGAAATAGACTTTTATTATACTCAAGTCTCTATTGTTTTGGGTTCTAGTCACTCTCCATGTAATCTAATCTTAACACAGCTTCATACTGCTCTTAGTAGTAGTAGCAGTGTGTGCATGCTCAGTCATGTCCAACTCTTTGCAACCCCATGGACTATAGCACACCAGGACCTCTGTCCATATGATTTTCCAGGCAAGAATACTGGAGTGGGTTGCCATTTCCTCCTCCAGGAGATCCTCCCGACCCAGGGATTAAACCCATGTCTCCTGTGTCTCCTGCATTGCAGGTGAATTCTTTACTGCTCTTAAAATAAAAGCAAAAATAAATTTTTATTTAGGCAGCTATTGTTGGATTTTTCAGCGATTCTCAGCCAAATCTAATCCTATCCAATATGACCAACTACTGATCTTAGGGTAAACAAAGACCCTCAACACTGGACTAGGAACCTGCCTGTTCCAGCTGCTAACTAACCATCAAGCTGTGTGTAGTACCAAACCCCACTCCCCATGCTCTGCTCCAGCCACACGAGCCTTCTTTCATCTCGGTGCCTACCATGATCCTTCCTGCCACAGGACTGTCACACAAGTTTCTCCCTTTTCTCTTCCTCTGGTTAACTCCTCTGCAACCTTCAGATCCTATCTCAAGCATCACCTCTAGGAGCCTTTCCTGACTTCAACAAGATCAAACCCTCCATCTTAGGTTTAGGAGAGGCACCAGGTAACCTCTCCTTCATAAAGTATTTTTCGAGTTGCAATCTGACATTTGTGTAGTTACAGATGTGTATATACATTCTGCATGTGTATATATATAAATTCACATACTTCTCAAAAAATGATTTTGCTTCATTCTCATGTTGATTGTAGACTAGTTCCAAATACATGTGTACAAATAGGGGATAAAAGAGTTGGGATAGTTCTGCCCGATGGCAGTCCAAGGAACATTCAATGAAGTGTTTCAGTCCGCTATAGTATTCTTCGTACATCGTGGGGTCTCCCTGTTGGCTGTAGGCTGACAGCACAGCACTGACATCCGGCTGGTCTTCCACAGCTACACTTCCAACTGTTTAAAAAATGAAAAATAACTTCAAGAAAGTGACCTGACAAGCACCAAGAGACTAAGGCTGTTCTGTTAAGGTCCAGAGGTGAACTGTTTCTCAGATGTTTGTCCCTCTCCTCTCAAATACTCTTCCCTGACACGATCGATCACCAAATCTTTTAATGGGATTCAGTTTGGTTCAGTCACCCAACCAACACACCTTCAGTTTGTCCACATCTTAAAATAAAAATTTTCAAATCAACAGCAGGACAATTCAGCATTTTTCCTAGAGATACCCTATTTTAAAAACAAATTTTATAAAACATGGTATATGCAAATCAAACAATGGTATTACTCTTCTTTCAAGGCTCAGTGCAAATGGCACACACCACCAGCAAGCCATGCCCTGGAGTAACATTCTCAGCTTTCTGAGCTACCTGAGTATTTTTTTTTTTTAACCTGAGTATTTTATAACTTTTCAGCAACACATCCTATCCTGTGTTATCTTCACATATGTACATCTATCACTCCCTATAAAATACAACCATGTAAATGGTGGGAAGAACTTTCCTTTTATATTTCCAAAAGATAAATCTATTTTATATGTGTAAAACAATTTCCATAACTGCCATTTCAAGGCAAAAAGCATGAGTATTTATTTGTAATATTTCAATACCAAACAATGATACATCTGTCAATCAAATGCGGGTTTGTGGGAAATTTTTTTAAGTTGTGATTACAGTACTGTTATGCTCTTTACTGCACAAATTTTCAGTTTTTTTGGTTACTATGATGGCCTCTTTTCCTTTCTACCGGTTTCTGAGTTACAATCTGAAGGTCAAGTTTCTAAAGAGATGAGAGATTATAGCAAAATAATCAACAACATAATTCATCCATCTTACAGTTCATTCACAAAATTCAGATTCAAAAAAGATTCCTCTCAATCACATTTGTACACATTTCTACTTATGGGTTACAGTGCTTCCTAGTCATACTTCACTCCTGGCAATGCTGCCAAGATCAGGTCTCATAAACACAGGTTAATTTGGCAAGAGGTTCTACAATGGGTAATTTAATTCAATAAACATTTTTTACTGGCTCAGGATCACCTTTGAAACTTTATGTTGTGTATGGCTTTTACTGCATGGACTTTGTGACAACAGTTGCTGAAAAAAAAGGGGAAGGGGAAGAAGAAGCCTCAGGTGTCAGGGATAGGTACTTGGCATAAACTTGTCAGTGCCAGACATTTTACATATATATGAATCTCATGATAACCCATTTAATAGAAGGAAAAAAACTCTCAAGCTTAGGAAGAATAACAATCAGCATGACACAAGTAAAAGCAACAGACAGAAACTGAAGTCCGATACCTGTTCCTAAATGAATGGTTCTCAAACCTTGCCATACATCAATATCTCTTGGAAGCATTTTTTTTTTTAAATCCTTACAATATTTATGTATCTTTGGCTGCGTTGGATCTTAGCAGCGGCTCCGAGGATTTTTCCTTGCCGCACGCGGGCTCAGTAGTTGCAGAGCGCGCGGGCCTAGTTGCCCCACGCTTGAGGGATCTTGGTTCCCTACGACGTTCCCACATCCCCTGCGTTGGAAGGCAGATTCTTAACCACTAGACCATCAGGGAAGTCCCTGAAGCATTTATTTGAAAATGCAGATTTCCAGACTCCACCAGCACAGGATCTGATTCACTAAGTCTGAAGTGATGCCCAGGAATCTGCATTCCTCTAAAAGATTTAACACCAATGGTATTTAGCCTATATTTTGAGAAAGACTGGCTACACTATGTACCATCACTCTCTAGCTGTGTGGTCCAAAGCAAATACCTTGGCCTTTCTCGGTCTGGTTTCTCATCTCTAAATAGAAGTACTGTCTACCTCACAGTGGAGCTGTGAAAATTAAGATAAACAACATAAAATATTTATAGTAAAAGTACGCTAGTACAAATAATGTTGCTGCATCCCTGTCCAAAGCGCAAGAGCCCAAATAAGAAAAATCAAAAGCCTGAAAGTTCCCGCCTCTCCTCGCCCACCGTCCCCATACATCCTTGGGCTCAATAGCTCTCCACAGCCTCTCGCTGGAACTGACAGCTCGGAAGAGGGTTTGACTGCGCAGCCGGCGCACTAGGGAAAGGGGCGGGCATGTGGCCCTAGAGGCGGGCCCAGGAAATTCAAAACAAGCCCGCAGAGGTGCAGGCCTGCCAGCCTCTGCCTTCCCGGCTCACTCCCCGCCGTGCCGGTCCTGCCTACCCAGGACCCAGCGGCTCACCTTTACCCGGAGCCACAGAACCTGTCGCTAAGCCCGAGACGGCGGCGGACCCCGAAGCGCAGCTGACCGGAGGATCCGGGGCCGAAGGGCCGGGCGCCGAGGCAGTGACCCGGCTAAGAAGCGCGCTAGCCGTCTCAGCGCCGGCGCTGTCCGCCTCTCCCGGGGCTGCGGAGCCCGCCACTGCCTCCTCCAGCAGCCGGGCCTCACGGCGCAGCGCTTCTTCGGCCTCGCGGAGGTTGCTCTGCCGTAGAAACTGCAGCACGGCGAGCAGAGTCTGTCGGTCGTGGGGAGCGCTGGCCTCCGGAGCAGCGGCGGGCACCGAGGCCGCCCCCGCCGGTGCAACGGCGGAGACAGCCACCGAGGGTTTGGGGGTCCCACCATCCCCGCCGGCCGACGACGCCGCCGCAACGTTCCCGCCGCCGCCGTTGGGGCCGATGTTGGTTGTGCCGCCGCCACCCTCGCCAGCGCCGTCCCCTGCCTGCGGAGGTAGCAGCGTCGACGGTCCCTCAGGCTCTAACTTGACCGCCACCTCCGTCTGCTCCTCTGCCAGCGCCGCCATCTTGCGGCTGAGCCACCTCGCGCCGTCAAGCGTGATTGCGTTTTCGCCACATGGAGGGCGGGGAGGAGCATTTTACGACATCTCTGGAGGGCAATTTACGGCAGTAGGAGGGGCGATAAAGAAGGAGAAAAAGGAATCGCAGCAAGAGCAACTTTCAAAAAGTGAGTGACAAAAAGGCAGGAAGTGGGACGTGGGGACAGCCTCTTGCATTTGCCGGATAATAGTTACGTTTGTTGCAGACCAGCTATTTTTCAGGCACTGCGATGGACGTTTTACATTATGTGACCTTTAGTTCAGCAGTCATATAAGGTACCGTTATTCTCACGATACAGATGACTCAATCAAGACCTAAAGACATTTTAAAAATGCCAAAGTCACGCAGGAGGAAAGTGTCAAGATTCGAAACCAGGTCTTTAACTTAAAAGCATATATCATTTACCAGACGGAAGCTTCTGAGTTACTGGTAATGTTTATATTTTTTTCTGGATGGCGGTTACTTTTCTTTTTCCCAGTAATGCCTTGTAAAAATTAATTGGGCTGCAAGCTCACGTTTTGTGAACCTTAGAGCATTTATGTTATAGTTCAATAAAAAGTTTTTAAGGACCTGAATTTTGTGATTGTGAAATGGGTATATGCTGTATTCGTGCTATGTTATCCCTTATTACAAGTAGGCCGCATTTTAATTGTATATTTTAAAACAGTATGTGCCATTTTGCAACATGCTTCATAGGTTTAAAAGCCCTGCTGCATGTTTGAGGACTTCCGTTGTGGCCCAAACGGTAAAGAATCTGCGCTGCATATTTGATTTCCTTTGAACCTCAGAACGTTATGAGATAGGTGCAGACAAGAAAAGTGAACCTGGGACGTGGGGAAGATCGAGTTATGTGAAGATTAAATAAGATCATGTATATATGATAATACACAATATTAATAGTGTATTAATAGAGTCCATGTGGTTGCAAAGAGTCGGTCACCAGTGGGCTACTGAACTGAACTAAACACATAATAAATAACTTGGTTATTTTTACTGAACTTTAAGCGGTGTTCTGCAAATGTTTGATTAGAAAGTCTAATCATGACGTTCATGGTGATCTCAAGACTCAAATATAAAACTAATGGAATTTGACATAATATAAGATTATGAAGACCCTGATGCTGGGAGGGATTGGGGGAAGAAGGGGATGACAAGATGAGATGGCTGGATGGCATCACCGACTCGATGGACATGAGTTTGAGTAAACTCCGGGAGTTGGTGATGGACAGGGAGGCCTGGTGTGCTGTGATTCACGGGGTCGCAAAGAGTAGGACACGACTGAGTGACTGAACTGAACTGAAATGAAGATTATGAAACATGGGTAGGGGCAAGGGCAGAGAGTGGGGAAGAGATGAGCGAAAACTGGTTAGCATCTGATTCATTTAATCTGTTTCATCTGGTTTAAGTTGACCAGTTTCTTGCTTTACTATCAGTTGCACCTCCCTCTGCATCTTATTACTTTTCTCTAGGAATTTGTATTTCCTGGAAGGTATCAGCTACCTTGTATACCCAGAGGGAGAGGCTAAAGCCCAGCATTGCTAAAAGGTGAAGGATGCACCAAAAACAAGAAAGCCTGTGATGTGTTGGTCCCATCACTCCTTATGTATCAACATAATGCACACGTGCACACACACATATCCTCAGAGTTTTCACAGTTTTTACTGATCTATCAATTTCAGTGCCATCTCTAGGATTGAGTGTGATGGGAGAGGTAGCCACTGGTGTGAGTTTACAATCTTGTTCAGTTCCTAAGTTTAAATTCACACTGCTAAGAGTGAATTTAGAGTTTGCCTCCTAAGGTAGATAATTGCAAAACTGATCTGCCCTACTACAGGAGTGACCTGCAGTGTGGCTATTGACTACTGCCACTCAATGTACCTAGTCTGAGCTAAGGTGTTCTCTAAGTGTGAGATATGCGCTGGGTTTTAAAGACAAAAAGAATATAAAATGGCTCAATAAGTTTTTTATTGGTATCATGTTGAAAGGTGTTTTCATATGAGTTAAATATTAAAATTAATTTCCTATTTCTTTTTACTTTTTTTTTGTGGCTTCTGAAAACTTTTATTTATGTATCTGGCTCACCTTATATTTCTGTTGGACAGCACTGATCTAGACCAGGAGCTTTCAATTTTTTTGGCCATGATTAACAATAAGAAATATGTTTAACACCAGAACCCAGGACTCACATATGTATGTGGATTTTTATAAGTGAGACAAGTTTTAACAATAATATGTATAATTATCACATGAAATACACTCTGATATTTGATATTCTGTTCTTTAAATAAAATGTATTTAATCAGTATGACTGATTTAATCAGTATGACTCAGTTCAGTTCAGTTCAGTTCCTTCACTCTGTTGTATGTGACTCTTTGCGACCCCATGGACTGCAGCATGCCAGGCTTCCCTGTCCATCACCAACTCCCAGAGCTTACTCAAACTCATGTCCATTGAGTCAACGATGGCATCCAATGATGCCACCCAGAGAATACCATCTCATCCTCTGTTGTCCACTTCTCCTCCTGCCTTCAATCTTTCCCAGCATCAGGGTCTTTTCCAGTGAGTCAGTTCTTTGCATCAGATGGCCAAAGTATTGGCGTTTCAGCTTCAGCATCAGTCCTTCCAGTGAATATTCAGCATTGATTTCCTTTAGGATGGACTGGTTTGATCTGCTTGCAGTCCAAGGGACTCTCAAGAATCTTCTCCAACATCACAGTTCAAAGGCATCAATTCTTCGGTGCTCAGCTTGCTTTATAGTCCAACTCTCACATTCATAGATGACTACTGGAAAAACCATAGCTTTGACGAGACGGACCTTTGTCGGCAAAGTAATGTCTCTGCTTTTTAATATGCTGTCCAGGTTGGTCATAGCTTTTCTTCCAAGGAGCAAGTGTCTTTTAATTTCGTGGTTGCAGTCACAATCTGCAGTGATTTTGGAGCCCAAGAAAATTAAGTCTGTCACTGTTTCCATTGTTTCTCCATCTATTTTCTATGGAGTTATGGGACCGGATGTCATGATCTTAGTTTCTTGAATGTTGAGCATTAAGCCAGCTTTTTCACTCTCCTCTTTCACTTTCTTCAAGAGGCTCTTTAGTTCCTCTTCCTTTCTGCCTTAAGGGTAGTGTCATCTGCGTATCTGAGGTTATTGATATTTCTCCTGGCAATCTTGATTCCAGCTTGTGCTTCATCCAGCCTGGCATTTTGCATGGCGTACTCTGCATACAAGTTAAATAAACAGGGTAACAATATGCAGCCTTAATGTACTCCTTTTCCAATTTGGAACCAGTCTGTTGTTCCCTGTCTAGTTCTAACTGTTGCTTCTTGACCTGCATACAGATTTCTCAGGAGGCAGGTAAAGTGGTCTGGTATTCTCATCTCTTTAAGAATTTTCCACATTTTGTTGTGATCTACACAGTCAAAGGCTTTGGCATAATCAATAAAGCTGAAGTAGGTGTTTTTCTGGAATTCTCTTGCTTTTTCCATGATCCAACGGATGTTGGCAATTTGATCTCTGGTTCCTCTGCCTTTTCTAAAACCAGTTTGAACATCTGGAAGTTCATGATTCACATACTGTTGAAGCCCAGCTTGGAGAATTTTGAGCATTACTTTGCCAGCATGTGAGATGAGTGCAATTTGCAGTAGTATGAACATTCTTTGGCATTGCCCTTCTTTGGGATTGGAATGAAAACTGACATTGTCCAGTCCTGCATCCTTGGTTGACTTTTCCAAATTTGCTGGCATATTGGGTACAGCACTTTCACAGCATCATCTTTTAGGATTTGAAATACTTCAGCTGGAATTCCATCACCTCCACTAGCTTTGTGGTAAGTGGTCACACCATAATGGTTATCTGGGTCATGAACATCTTTTTTGTATAGTTCTTCTGTGGACTGAAATGTGTGAATTCCATTCAGATGAACTGAAATAGGCAAATTTAATTCAGATGACCATTATATCTACTACTACTACCATATCTACCACTGTGGGCAAAAATCCCTTAAAAGAAATGGAGTAGCCCTCATAGTCAACAAAAGAGTCCAAAATGCAGTTCTTGGGTGCAATCTCAAAAATGACAGAATGATCTCTGTTCGTTTCCAAGGCAAACCATTCAATATCACAGTAATCCAAGTCTATGCCCCAATCAGTAATGCTGAAGAGGCTAAACTTAAACGGTTCTGTGAAGACCTACAAGACCTAGAACTAACACCCAAAAAAGATGTCCTTTTCATTATAGGGCACTGGCATGCAAAAGTAGGAAGTCAAGAGATACCTGGAGTAACAGGCAAGTTTGGCCTTGGAATACAAAATGAAGCAGGGCAAAGGCTAACAGAGTTTTGCCAAGGGAATGCACTGGTCATAGAAAACACCCTCTTCCAGACAGACTAGTTTTTATTAAAAGTATAAATATTGGAGGAGATGTGAACAAATTCATAAAATATATCGATTTTGTAGACACAGGGCTTCATAGTTGGATTTGGGAAATGGGGGCAAAGAAATCCATGGCAGACATCCTGGCATTTGGCTTGGGTGTCTGAAAGGATGGAGATATAATTCCCTGAGAACTGACCTGATTGGGGAGGAAGATTATGAACTCAATGTTTAACTTGTTGAATTTGAGATCTCTGGAGGTGCACATGGAAACTAGCCAGTAGATAGAAGCACATATGGTTTAGAGGTAAGGAAGGAAAAAAGCCTGGACAAGAGATACAGATTTAGAAATCAGCAAATAAGTGGTAATTGAAGTCATATGAGTGAGTAAGATTACCCCAAATAGTGTATAGGGCAAGAAATGAAGAAGATCCAGCACGGAATTCTGAGGAACACCCATGTGTGCTGAGTCACTCTCTTGTGTCTGGTTGCGCCCCCGGGGACTGTAGCCCGCCAGGCTCCTCTGTCCATGGGATTCTCCAGGCAAGAACACTGGAGTGGGTTGCCATGCCCTCCTCCAGGGGACCTTCCCGACCC